GCCTCTGCCGCCGCACATGTTATTCCGCGCACGTACGTGCATAACCATTGACACGGCATTGAAACACGAGCTATAGATCCATGGACGCTACGCATGCTGCGGTTGTTGTTGTTTTTGCATTTCCCAGAAAGTTTTGCGGTTCCTGCTCGGCTGTTATTGGTCGAGAAGCCTCTGCCTACATCCCCCACAATGCCATGCACTTATGAGTCGGCTTTACTTCAGGTGTTTTCTTCCTGTTTTTCCTGACGGAGTTAAGTTAAACTATCGAACATTCTATCGACCCCATTCTCTATTGATATCGAACACATGTCTATCGCGATATATATCGTTATCGTTTTATCGCCCAGCCCTATAATAAATAATGCACATTTTTTTCCATACACTAACAAAAATCTGAAAAAAAAAAATACAGTAAAATCACACAGTTCACCAACTCCACATTGTACTGGTTTGTAACTCCTCCACCTTTCAGAACTCGACTAGAAGAAAAGCCTGTAATAAATAAAACAATAAATAAAAAATGTGCCTAAGTCAATAGTGGGCATTTGTTTTCTTGCGTTGCCAGGTCAGCTGTAGAAGAGCAGACATTCGTGCACACTTTTAGGTCCTATTCTTTTGCTCTCTATGTGCTTTTTGTTTTGTGGCTTGTTAATAATTGAAAAGTGCAAACAGAGCAGAGATGGAGTGGATTCAGAGTGGGGATAAAGGCGGAACAGCTTTGTTTGAATGTCACCTACAGGAAACACAGTTCACAGAAATAGTATGGGAATGTATACGCCTCGTCCCATCACTGCAATCACAAATGTACCTATGGCATTTTGAAAGAAAGTCAGCCATTAAATTTAGGACGTGATTATTGTAAGATTTTACTTTTTAGCAAGGGTTCCCAACGTGGAGCCCGCCAGATCGGTTTTGGCTTCAGTCAGATCCCCATTTTCAGACAGAAAAATGACTCAGCCAATCAGCACTTGAGGCTTATTCTTACATGTATAGCAAGATTATATGTTTGTCTGTTAAGATGAAGACAGAATGTTGAGGTTTGATTTGTTCACTACATGTTATTTTTTACGACTCTTTATATCGGAGCAAGTCTGTAATTCATTGGGGAGGGGGGGAGTTGGGTACCTCTCCTTTAATTGAAGTCCTATTGAAGATTTTAGGTAGAATACCACGTTTTCTGCTCAATGGAAAAAGCTCAAAGTTTGCGGCTCCAAAAACAGTGGATTATTAATTGATCATTATTATTATTATCATTAATATTTTGAGATGTGCATGTTTTGAGAGAGTGACATGTGACCAACTTGACCGATCAACGCATGCGGCAGCCAAGAGTAGGACAAAAGTTATCGATTACAAATACGACTAAAATCCCCACCAAATCTGAACGTCACGAAACAGACTTGTGGACGAGTTAATTTTGTTTACATTCACATATTATTTCTCAACAATTCTTTAAGAAATTGCCACTGTTTAGGAATTTGAACTTTCCCATAGAGTTGTATTGGAACCTGCTCTAAAACTGAAAGAAAATTTTAGCACATGACCGCATCCTATTCATGGATCTATTATATTAACTGGATAGGGTATTACTAGCTTGGAGCTGAAGGACCCATGTGCTTGGGGGATTCTCGCGGTACTGCAGACTAAACCAGACTACATTCATGTGGGCTACCCAGAAACTTTCCCCAAAGAACTCAATGTGAACTAAAACAGCCCGACCTCAGCTGACAGAGAACCTACAGCTTTCATAAAGGTCGGATTTTGTGGGGATTTTAGCGTCCCTTGTCATCCTGAACTTTTTTTCTTCTTAAATCCTTCGGTTTTCTTTACTGCACACTTTACTGCCACCAACTCTGCCCGTCTGGCTCCCGCCCTAAATCCCGCTCGGATGAGCAGCTCTGATTAGTCAGAGCCCAGCCGAGCCCCTCTGTGCACATGCATGAGACCCACACACGCGTATTTGGCGCAACGCATCATGGGAGATCATCCACTGCGCAGAATCGGGTGGACCAGACGATGCCCAAATACAGTCGAGTTTCCCATGGATCTTTGCGAGTTCCAGGTGAGTTACGGTAATCTTTCAGCACCCATGCCAGCACAAAGCGCCACTGAGCACAAACCATTCATTTGAATACAGCGCCATCTTGGATCGCCGGGGCTTGATCCTATTGAAGAGAAGCTAAAGCTAGCATACCCTATCCAGATAATATAATAGTTCCATGGTTCTTCTCCAGAGGAAGAGCAAAGTATTTTTTTGCTTCACAACACTTCACTTTGTAAATCTTGGGAAAGACAAGGAACAATAAACAATACCTTTTTTCCTTTTGTTTGTCTTGGTTGTGTTTTGTAACAATTAGGTTTTGTGCGGGATATGTACCATGCTTCTAACCACTGTGGTAACTGACTAACGGACAAACCAATGAACCACATCGTCCTTTGATCCTTTGCAAAGACAAAACACATTTTCTGATTCAGCAGATGAGTTAATTAGTGCTCAAACTCTCATCTCTGGGACTTGTTTCTTTTCTCTTATTGACTGAGCCGGTTCACTCCCTCAAAGGGCCTTTTCTGGAGATCATTGCACTGAAGTTAAATATTAAAAAGTCAACAGTGATCTCAAGACCGGACATGTTCTCAAGGAGCAGATTTAAACAAACAGAAAACCAAGAGGAACGCAAACAAATGTGGGAATAAAACGGAAATGAAAACTTGGCCAAACAAGTGATGCAATAGAATCTCAAACACCCGGGCAGAGAAGACCAAACTTTAAATGTTGGGGAAATGTGACCTATCAAAAACCATATTAAGTAAACTTATAATCAGGGGTGCACATAACAATTTTCAGTGAGGTACTCAGATGAGCATCAGGAGATTGTGTTTGGCACTCAACTCATTTGTTGCATGGTTCTTAATCGAGATTTTATACTTCTTTTTTATGTTAAACTTTAGATCGGCTCATATAATCTACTCTCAGCCCCAAAAACGCAATTGATGAATCACAGGGTAGGAAAAAAAACGACACAAAAAACCCTGGCCTGCTGGGGTTTGTTCACATTTCACTTTTGGGCACAACCAACATGCGTTATTAATGCAAGGAAAAATGTAGGTACCCCAGCTTTAATTTAGTGAGTTTAGGTTGAGCATCGGGGGAGACATGGACACTCCCTGAGGCTTCATAAACCAGCTCTGTTTATGAACAGGTGGCTGAGTAGATAGCACTCTCGCTACTCAGCAAGAAGATCCTGGGTTCGAATCCTGGTTGGAACAGGGCCTTTCTGAGTGGAGTTTGCATGCATTCCCCTTGTCTACGTAGGTTTCCTCCAGGTACTCCGGTTTCCCCTACCTCCAAAAACATATACAATAAGTCTGGCATCTCTGTGTGGAGTGAGAGGGCAAAAACCCACAATTGTAAACTGCTTTGTGACTCTGGTCTGTGAAAGGTGCTATACTGTATTCAAAAAAATTACTTACTCTGTTTCTTGCAGAGGTGTATTTGTCCATGTGTAACAGTTATGTGCACCCCAGCTTATAATCCCTTATTATTATTAGACAGAGAATTCTATTTACAAGGAGCATAGTAATAATAATGCATTGGTTTTATATAGCGCTTTTTGGACACTCAAAGACGCTTCACATGTGTTATCATAATTCTTTCACTCCATACACGGTGGTGATAAACTACTACTGTAGCCACAGCTGCCCTGGGACACACTGACAGAAGCGAGGCAATCAGTATGTGCCATCGGCCCTTCCGACCACCACCAACCATTCACACACACACCAGACTCATTCTAGGCAATGGGGGTGAAGTGTCTTGCCTAAGGACACAACGACAGCAGACAGTGGGTGACGATGGTGAAAGTCTTGAAGTGGGTTTGAACCCACAACCTTCTGGCTCAAAGGCCAATGCTCTAGACGGCTCTACTGTCAGTATACCTAGTATACATGTGCACCTGTGTTGTGGCTCATACGTGCTTTTTTAAAAGAAAAACATAACTCAAATTGTTGTTACCAAAGGAAAGCTTTTGTTTCTTCTGCGCTGAACTGGAAACTGAAAAGGTATTGCGGTGAGTGCAGATGTGACGTCTATACAGTATCAGAGTGTTTATATTTGTGACAGACCTCAGATCAGTTTAAGTCTGTGGAATCGCATTTCAGCTCCTCTCGTTTCATTTGAGCCTCATTTAATCTTCCCTCCGGTCATTTACCAGACAGAGCTGGAAATATATACACCAGCAGGTCTCCATAGTAACTCGATACGTTTAAAAATAATACGTATATTTGTTTAACATTATCTTGATTTTACAACTTTTTCCCCTTCTTTTTTCTTCTACTTTATAAGAATCTGGGAAGCAGAGGCAGCGGTCTTGGACATTAGTGCATTTTTAAGGTAATTTTACTTGTCACTGTCACAAAAAAAGACCATAAACAACAGAACTAAGTAATATTCAGCCATTTGCCAATATCTTTGAAATCAGCCTTTGCTCATTCAAACTTTAAGGCCAATATATGCTAATGCTAATCTTAAAAAAAAAATATATAATTATTTTAATTGTTTATGGCTCAACTTTCGCATATCTTTTTTCACATTATGGAGGTCTATTGAATCAATCACTACTTTTATTGATTATGGGTATGAATATTCTTTTTGACCTTTTTTTATTATTTCAAACACAAAAACCCCCATCAAAAAACAAACAGGATACAAAAGAAACAAGGAATATATAATTTTGAAAAGGAGTTGGAGCAGAGGGGTTGAAACAGAACTGGCCTAAAGTTAAAGGGGAAGTACTGTTGACAGATTTACATAAAATAGCATGTTGAATTCATTGTTTCTGTCTTGAGAGAAGATTTAAAATGAGGAATAACATGCCCTGGGTGACTTTCGACCATATCGGAAGTAGATATGTTTCAATAGATTAAAAAACATCAGTCTGATCCGTAATCAGGCTCAAACCCGTGGTGATAGTGGGCTCTCAGTGCGTCCCGTGTGAAGTTACCGGTGTTGGAGTGGAGATCCTCGTTGTCCGACTCGTTGCCGTTCTGTAAACTCATCATCATCTTCATCTTCTGCAGCTTCTGGAGTTCGGCCATCGCTGCTGCCGTCAGACCTGGACCAGACCGAGAGAAGCGACCAATCAGAAAACACCAACAGAAGGATTGTATAATTACACTTTTTGATGCACTGTGGCTATTTATGATTTTAATCCCATGTTTTAAGGTTTTTAATTACTTGTGTGATTTTATTTTATTTGTTTTTAGTATTTCTTGTGATCTTAATGTTGGTTTTTAAATTGTATTTTTGTATGTTTATGATTCATGCCTGACGTGATATGGGTTGTGAGGCGCTTTGTGTTGCCTTGAAAGGCGCTCTACAAATAAAAGTTTGTCCTAATATCAAAGCTGGGTTACCCAATTTTCAAACCGCAAAACAAATGAAGTATAAACTACTTAATAAAATCCATCTTCCTAGTTCCTCGCTCTCAAGACAAGTTTAGTTCCAGTGTTCACATCCATGTATTGTTGACCTTGCTTGCATCTTTACCCCTTAACCCCTCACCCCCCAAAGAGTCAAATACTGAGTCAAAGGGTAGTTTCTTTTCTAACATGTTTTCTAATAAGATGTTGAGGTCTGATTTGTTCACAACTTGGATATAACTTTCACAATTCTCAAAACAGAAGCAATATTTATGAGAAAAGTTGTATTTTTGAGTTAGGTACCCCTGCTATAATTGACCTGGATTCCTGATTATGATTGAATAATACAATAATTTCACTTATTTAATCTAATTTTACATATATATATTGTAAACACTGTGAGGGAGAGGTACTAAAGACACATGCTGCTTGTCGCTGGCTTTGTTCCTCACTTATTCTTATTTTTGGCACAGCCCTATCTGACAGAATATATCAGATATCTTTAGTGTCTGAACTCTGAACATCGTAAAGCGCTTTGGGTGAGCTTGGTCTGTCAAAATGTGCTATATAAATACATATTACTTACTTACTTTCTACCAAATAAGTGCAATTCATAGGTTGTCTTCTGCATGGCTTGACCAACTAACTTCTGCAACGACCCTATAAGCAATACAATTTAAAAAAGTAAAAATAAGGAGTTCCATGCAGTCTTTACTATTAATATTGTTATATTTTTTGTCAAGTTTTTTTTTTTTAAAATTAAGAATGCCAAGTTTTGATATAATCTGACCTGTCATCTATTTAATATCTCTTGGTCACTTGAACAGAACATGTGGCTGTGTTTCCTTATTAAACCTTACGGCTTAAGTGAAGCTATGTTTAACCCTATCTAATATTACTATTTTACTCCATCTTCAAAGAAATTCTTGGTCGCAGAAATTAATTACTCCTTTCTTGGACCCGGGGTGACACTTGAAAAGGTCGAGTTCAGATTTTGGCCATTTTGGATTTTCTCATCCATCAATCCATCAGCGTTATATTAAATTCCTGCCCTCCTCTCGCTGCGGCGTCCATCTTGTTTTCTTTGTAGACAAGTGTAGCCAGTGTGTAATGGGCATTCCTTCGGGCCCTGAACCGTGACCAGGGCGAAGCCTCCTTCACTTTAAACATGTACAGTATCTCTCACAGACTGCACACAGCCCAACAAGCATTCACACAGACAGTTACGGTATCGGTGGGCTCTACTAGGTCTTATCCGAGTCTTTGTTTGAACTGATAGGACCAATTTACTGGGCTTCAGTCCCTCTGTCGTCTGGATTCAGCCCCATCTGAGTTGCCATTTAATTTACTGTTTGGTAGTACTGTTTTTCTATGTGGTCCATGAATGTTTACATGTCCTTTAGTCTGACCCATTACAAAGAATGATAGATACAGCGCTTTCACAGACATAATCAAATGTTTCAACTTCCTGTTTCATGCAACATTTTTAGGACAGATTTGTTTTAAAATGAGAGCATGTTTTATGTTGAATTGTGAATCGTTATGAATGAACCCTCCGTCATCCTGAAAGGCAGGGATGGTCACAAAGTCACTTTACATTTGTGTGCACGATTCGGATTAACACAGTAGAGAATGTTGTACTGAAGTTACTACTGTAGCCGCACACACAGAACTAGATGTGCTAATTTTCACCATTGTTCCCTTGACCCCCATCAGTGATCCAGACCAGAATCTAGGCAGTGCGGATGTCTTGTCAAAGGACACTTTTGCAGCAGCCCTCCGGTGCACATGGTTTTACCCACAAGGCCCTTCATTGCTCAACTGCATGTGTTCTGACGGGTCAGGCTTTGACATGAGATTTATTGAGTCCTGTTTGGATCAGAGTTTCCATTTTCAGACAGTAACCATGTAAATAAGAGTCAAACCATGTGACTCAGGCCCCCACAAAAAAAGATCCAAATAGAGACACGATGAGAGTCAAAAATGAGCAGCCAAATAATATCTCCAAATTGCATCATCTGTTAGAAGGTCTCCCACTTGTATTTGAATCTCCAAACGTCTGAACTAAAAAGCCTTCGCTCCTGATGAATGGGGGCCGCGTAGAGACCCCTCGTGCACGCTCCTGGAGACGTGCACGTGAGGGTTAACTCTCACTCTGCTGCCTCCGCTCAATACCAGTCACTTCCAGGTCAGCGGACAAAAGCAGGAGTCTCCGTGATGAAAGCGAGCGGCTGGTATTGTGTCTGTGTAAAACAGTTAGCCTGAGGGCGACCACCACACCGAGGCCTTAAATCACCGCGACAACACATGAGAAAGTGTGTCAGTGTTTACAAATGCACGACTGGAGGATATGGAGGAGGTATAAGACGATTGAGAGAGCTTTTAGCCATTGTGAGTGAAAGTGGTGAGAAATCAGAGTATAGTGGGGAAGTGAAATGTGAATTGAAAATATATAGTGCATATGTTTGTGTGTAAAATATGGTTCATAAACTGATTTGGAAATGTATCCTCTAGGAGTCAGAATAATGTAAGTAAAGAAAGAGGAATGATCAGAAGAATCAATAGAAACTAAATGCTGTAGTCGTGGATATAGGAAATCTCCCAAATTATAATAAAATAAAGACAAATCAGCGGTTTTGATTTAGGGCTATAATAAAAAATAAAAAAAAAAAATAATAATAATAATTTTATGCTAACTATGAAGCACTTTGTAAACATTGTTTATACAAAATAAATATATATTATTAATATTATATATTGTATTTCTAATTGGTTAAATAAATTATTTTTTCTTCTTTTTTTTCTTTTTACATCTTAGTTACTTCATTATTTTCCACTTTTCTATTGTTTTATATATATGTTTATCATTATCATGTTGTGAACAGACAGGTATGCTACTACAGGTATCACAATATGTTACTTTTTTATCCCAGACATTACTTTGATGTTAGAATAGTATCAAAACTAGACATAAGTATTGAGAGGAAATGCATAAATAATACATAAATACATTACATATCATTATCATTTCCACTTGTATTCCCATTATTCAAGTTATTAAAATAATAATCCTAAAAACCTCACAGATGCACTTTGATTGGCCCCATAAATATCAACGAGACTCCATTCTTCACATTCAAATGTGAAACCCTCCACTCAGCGAAACAGGACTGTCCCATATCCCTCCTGTACAGTACACTACATTTCAATTGACTGTACATAAAGCAGTGGAACTAAATGTTGCGCAGCGCCTTGTTTTGTGGAGAAAGAAACAAAGAGAAAGAGGTCTGAGCGTGGCCCCAGGCGCGAGCAGCAGACGTATTGTTCAAGTCCACAGAGACCCGAGGAAACCAGGCCAAAGGAACAGGACTGGCACCAGAGTCACAACAACAACCAACAAACTGGACACAACACGCTCCAAAAGCCCAGTATACAACTACACAACACTGGGACAACATTAGAACTGAGGCTGCGTTCATATGGCTGGTCTGGTTCACTTCAACTGGACCAATTCTAGGTCATTTGGGGGGGGAAAAAAGTATTTCTTTGCGGATGTAAAACCACCAAACAAGTGGCAAGGCAAGTTTATTCTGTATGTATACAGTTCATACACAAGGCAACTCAAAGTGCTGAACAAAACCAGAGAGATACAGATAGATAGATTGAAAAACAGATTGAAAAACAGATAGATAGAGAGATAGAGAGCTAGAGATACAGTGCTATAGAGATAGATAAATACAGAGATAGAGAGCTAGAGATACAGAGAGAGAGAGATAGAGAGAGAGAGATACAGAGATACATAGATTGATAGATACAGAGATAGATAGATGCAGAGATGGAGAGATAGAGATAGTTAGAGAGATAGATAGATTGATAGATACAGAGATAGAGAGATACAGAGATAGAGAGATAGATAGATACAGAGATAGAGAGTGATACAGAGATATACTGTAGAGAGAGAGAGATACAGAGATAGAGAGATAGAGAGAGAGATACAGAGATGGAGAGACAGATAGAGAGATAGAGATACATAGATAGAGAGATAGATGCAGAGATAGAGAGATATATGGAGAGATAGAGAGCGAGAGAGAGATACAGAGATAGATATTAATCAACGAGGCATTAAAAGAAGTGAAAACAAAATCCTTCAGTTGTATGCACAGTTAAACTGAACAGTTTTCAACCTGGATTTGAAGATTGTCTTATAGAGGAGAAGCCTGTCTCAAATTTTCAGGAAGACTGTTACCGATTCTACTGTACATGCGGATATCTGAAAAGCTGCCTCTCCATGTGTAGTCCTGACTCCGGGCAGAAGCAGGAGGCCAGTCCCTGTGCTCCAAACATCCCACTAGTCACAGAAGTCAGCTTACAATCTGTTGAACCAGATTTTTGCTCCATGTGAAACATTGAAACTTGTTTTAATCAGTTTTAGAATATTTTAAAACATAAATAAATAAAATCTCTAGTAGTAGTAGTAGTAGTGAAAACACTGTGTTAAGGGAATTTTTTTAATTCAATTGATTTGAATGGGGGCTCTGGGAGTTCAAGTAGTTTTAAATTTCTCGGAGTTAACGTGTGTCAAACCAAACATGTGTTGATCTTGTTTTGTTCAGCACTCAGATTCCATCCCACACAGTCCAGGCCTATTACGCTCTCTACATTTGTCATTGCCGTCGGCCTCCACATAATTCCC